GAAAGTTTTCTGATATTATTTCTGTGAATAGATCCTTGATTCCTTTGGTTTGGTCCTCTATGTTTTCCTCTATCCCAATAACTCCCAAATTTGGCTTTTTATGCTATCCCATTTTCTTGAATGTTCTGCTCCTGGTTCCTTACCATTTTCACTCTATGGTCTATGTTCCTTTCAAGATTATATATTTTATCTTCATTGTCTGATGTCCTATCTTCCCTGTGGTCTTCTCTGTTCGTGATGCTTTCATTTGAGCTTTGAGTTTAGTTTATTATTTCTTTCTTTTTTTTTTTTAAGAGAGAGAATTTTAATATTTATTTTTCGGTTTTTCGGCAGACACAACATCTTTGAATGTGGTGCTGAGGATCGAACCGTGGCCGCACGCATGCCATGTGAGCCCGCTACCGCTTGAGCCATATCCCCAGCCCCTATTATTTCTTTCATTTCAAGGATTTCTATTTGTTTTTTGTTTTAGAACCTCTGTCTCCCTGTTGAGGTGATCTTTTACTTCTTTTATTTGTTTATGTAGCTCATTGTCGAAGTGATCTTTTACTGCTTGTCTTTGCTCTGTTATACCTTCTTGGCGTTTACAGGACATTTTAACCATGTATATCCTGAAATCATTCTGCGTCCATTTTTCTGCTGTAACTGCCAATGATTCTAATGATGTGTTCTCTTGATTTGTTTGGGCACTTTTTTCCCTTGTCTTTTCATGTTACTTGTGTGTCTTCCTTTCCAGCTCTGTGGTTCTGGGGTGTTATTTTTTTTTTTTTTTTTGCCCTATAGATTTGTAGGTTTGCAAGATCCCTCCTTTGTGGGGAAGGACGATGTTAACAGATCCCAATATCAACAATACATCACGTATGAACAATTTGTTGTTATGAAGACATTTACAGTTTAGTCTCAATGTCCAGAAATATTGGATTCAATTATTATTTAAAATATAATCCTAGTTTTGTAAAAAGGTTTACAGTCTCTGGTGGTGGACAATGAACTGGGGATGTGGCAGGATGATATGTGGCTCAGAGGGAGTTCCCATCTGCCAGCCATGCTCACCAAATATGGGGAGAAAGGTGATCCAAGATGGAGCCGGTCTGCTTCCATTGATGTGGGGGGAGCTGGGTGATGCCCTTGTGCTGTGGGTAGGTAGCAGCTGAGTGGCCTGTGTGGGAATGAGGTGCAGCCTGGAGTTCTGCAGAGGGGCTGAGAGGTGTTTCTGCTGAGCCGCTCAAGAGCTGCTTGTGGCTAGAGCTGTGGGCTTTGGGCTTAGAGCCCATAGTCTTACTCGAACGCTGAGGCTCTGAATTCTGCACTGGGCTTACAGCGTGGTGATTTCTGTGAAAATCCACTCTAGAGTGTATTTTCACGCTCTCTGAAATCCTGTATTTTGATGAGGTCAGACCTAGGCCACGGAACAACACAGGATGCTGCCTGTGCTGCCCACCATCTTGAATGTCCCCCCTTCTGGTCTTGACACAATATGGTACCCTTTCAAATGTCAAGGCCTCTTTAAACAGCAGGGAAGAACTCAAACTGGAGAAAAGCCTTGTATGTAGAAATGTGGTAAGACATTCGGTTGTTTCAGATCTAGTTGGACTTGTTCAGATTTGAGGGAATATTAAGTATTATTATTATTATTATTATTATTATTATTATTATTATTATTATTTCAACCCAGAGGTGCTGAACCACTGAGACACATCCCATTGTTTTTTTAATTTTTATTTTTTTCCAATTTTGAGACATGGTCTCACTTGGTTGCTTAGGTCCTAAGTGGCTGAGGCTGGCTTTGAACTTATGATCCTGCTGCGTCCGCCTGATGTAGTCTTCACTGCCTTCAGCAACCATGCTCTTTTGAGAAAACAAGTGTGGGAGTGTGAAAAGTGTATGTGCCTTCATTCTGGCAATTCACAGGTGACAAAAATGCACCCTAGAGTGGATGTAAGGATGGCATCAAGGTGAAGATGTGAAAACAAGGTTAAATCTCTGTTATTGTTAGATTCAACTTTTTTGAATTTTAAGTTCTTTGCATCTGTAGTCAAATCTCACATATTATGACATAATCTTATATACTGTGCATTTTTGTGTGTGCAAAAATATTAGTTGCATTGACTTTTAGTCGCAGCATTTAAATACTTGTTTAGAGTTTTTATCTCTCTCCTTCCATTAAGTACATTTTCTCTTATAGTGTCCATTTTTTTTTTTTTTTTAGTAAAGGCTTTATCAAATTTAAAACTCGGGTCTCATAATATGAAAACTTTTTCTATATGGAATTCTGATATTTTCTGTGTCCTCAAATATTGTATGACTTTTACATATGTTGTGATAAAATAAAAATTGAGAGAGGTTTTAGAGAAATAATTACCAGGGTCAGAGAATGGAGAAAAGAAAAGGAACATTACCATCATTATATCTGGAGTCTTTAAGCACTGAGCACCATCCCTAGTCCTTTTTAGTTTTTTGTTTGTTTGTTTCATAGAGGATCTTGCTAAGTTCTTCTTAAGGGCCTCCATTTCTTGCTGAGGCTGGGTTGAAACTTGTGATCCTCCTGCTGTGGCCACTGATCGCAGACATATGCTACCGTGCTCAGCTCCTGGGTGTTTCCTGAATCCCTGATGTAAATCAAAATGTGCCTTGTTTGTGTCAAGTTTCCAGGTGTCACCAATTCAGATGCCAGAATTACTTCTTCATGTCCTTCTGTATGTTAACGTCCTTCAATCTCTAAGATTCCAAAATGATGCTGATCATCATAAGAACATTATCTCACACCTTCCAAATTATTATTAGTTCAGTTGTACTAAACTGGAGTTGACTTGGAAAATGTATATTAGATAATTTATGTTGAAAACAGGGGTGGAAGAACTATTTCAATATTTAAGGAAACCCATTATTCATTTCTATTAAGAGCTCATGATATAATGAACTTCAGTTACTATTCCCTTTCATGCACCAGGCACCAGAAAAGCACTTTAGCAGGGGCACAGAGGCTATCAGAAATGCCCTGGTGCTCATGTAAGGGTTTTCAGAGCAGCAAGTCACATTAAAAAACACCTGGGAGGTGTGAGTTGTGCCACCCACACATGCACACTCACACGCACATGCACACACATGTACAGGATCAAGTCACCCTTTTCTCTACATACCCTCCCTAGCGCAGTGCTTTCATCCTCACTGTGTCATGCAACTATTGATTTCTTTGACTTTTCTCACAATGTTGCTGCCCACTATTCCTTCTCAAAAATCAATTGTTATTTCCTGACTTCCCAATTTAATTCAGAAGTTTCAGACACATTGTGTGTGTTAGTTGAGGCCTCTCCACTCCAGCCTTGTGTACAGATTAGTGAAATATCTCTTCCTTCCTCCTTTTCTCCCTTTGTTATTTCAGACATTACCCAGGAGGGCTGCACCACTGAGCTTCACCCTAACCATGTTAATTGTTGTTTTTTAAGAGAGTGAGGCTGGCCTTGAACTTGTAGTCACCCTGCCTCAGCCTCCTACAGCTGGGACCATAGGCATGTGCCCTTGTGTGGCCTGCAGCTGATCTCTTCCTTTTCCTTGATGCCTTCTTGGCCTGCTGATGACTCTGGGACCACCACTGTGTCACACATTCTTTTCTAAGTCTCATGTGTTGTGTTGTACATAGGCAAGTTAAAGAGCATTATAAAATCTTGTAGTTTGTATGTATTATTTGGAGAGGCACCTTCTCAAAATATACTTTGCCCTATTATTAATGCAGTTTATTTCTTTTCTTTTCCTGGTGCCAGGGACCCAATCCTGCCTTGTGCATGCTAGGCAGGTGCTCTAGCACTGAGCACTCCCCTAGCTCAGGTGGTGAGTTTGCCGCTGCTGTGTGTGTGGACCCACTACTGTTCCCATCAGCAGATGCAGCTCTGCAGGTGTATCCTCGTGTTTGCAGCTTGTCCCGTTTTGTCTTAAACTTCTTTTACAGCACTGAATTTTAAATCCAACTCAGCTTTTCTCCCCATGATTAATCCTTGGGTGGAGTAAGCCAGAAAACCCAGGCTGGATTTCTCTCTGTGTTTAGGGTACTGTCATACATAGGTGACTGCATGACCCATATGATTCTGCAACATGCACACTCAGAAAAATGAGAGATGATATCCCATCTATGTATGATATATCAAAGTGCATAAATGCATTCCATAGTCACGTATAAGTAACTGAAAGAAATAAAATAATTTTAAAACAGAACAAATCCAGGTGCAATGACTCATGCCTTCATTCCAATGGCTCAGGAGGCTGAGGCAGGAGGACTGTGAGCTCAAAGCCAGCCTCAGACATAGTGAGACAGTAAACAACTCAGTGAGCCCCAGTCTCTAATAAAGTACAAACTATAGCTGTGGAGGTGGCTCAGTGGTTGAGGGCCCCTGAGTTCAATTCACAGGACACCCCCCATTCAAAAAAAATAGGGAAACGAAAAAAACCTAAGGAAGAAAGGTATGATACCAGTGTTGTTGGGCACAGCGTCACACAGCTATAATTCCAGTGGCCAAGCAGGCTGAGGGAGAGGGATCACAAACCTAGACAGCCTCAACTTAGTGAGGCCCTAAGGAACTTAGCAAGATCTGTGTCACAATAAAAAATCAAAAGGTCTGGGGATGTTGCTCAGTGGTTGTGCACCCCAGGCTCAATCCCTAGCCCCAAATAATAATGATATAAAAATGGATTTAGTCTTTCCTCTTCATTTGCATTGCTCTCATCTTCCTAATGGCTCTAATTCACAACCTGTCCCTGATCCTTCTCACCCTCCTGGATGTCCGCCTCCACACACCTCTCTATTTCCTGGTGTACTGGCTGTCCCTCACTGACCTGCGTGACATCTCCTTATGTTTGCATTCATTGGAATCCCTTTTTTCTGTGGTCAAGTACTTCTTGCTCTCTGCTTTATGGCCTTGGGACAGGGAAGAAGAATGTCTTCTCCCTCTGCAGCACCGCCTCACTGTGGTGACCTTCCACTCAGCACCCTTTGCTCTCACCCCCAGCCATGATCCTTCCGGTCTTCAGCAGGGAACAAGGTTCTGCCTGTCTTCCACACCACCCTCACCCAATGCTCAACTCCATCTTCTACAACCTGAGGAACATGGAGGAGACGTCGAGGCCCTGAGCAGATGGACCCAGAGGTCTGTTCTCTGTGATATAGATAAAAGGTCTGCCCCTTTCCCCGGGACTTAGGTGCAAGTCCATTAAGCATTGCGTAGGAACTGAAAATATTATCTTATACCAAGAGTGTGGAGACTAAAAACCATCTACATTCAAATAAACTGCTCAGGTCTGTCCAAATTGTCTTCTGAATGTGTGGAATTTAAATAAGATTTTAGCATCCTGCTTCCCTGTGAACCAGAGACAGGCCCACACCAGGACCCCAACATGAGACACCCCTCATCGGAGCAGAGAGGTGCCCTGACTGGGGTTCCCTATTCACCCCATGGTGGCTCCACAGTTCAACATCAGACACACATAGGTTTGAGGCTGCCACTCCCACAAAACTGGGATGTCACAGCTTCAATCAAGGGATGACAATAAGGACCTGGTGAGAAGGTCTCCAAGGTCCCTGTGGGCCTTGCTACACCTGTGTCTCCTCTTTACTATTATTCTTTACACAGAATATCTTTATATTTTAGAATATTATTCTTTAAATAGGTGTCTCTTAATTGTCCTTTTAAAATTATGATTAAGGCTGTTCCTCTGTCAGACTGCTGGCGATTTAGTGTCTCTGTTTGTTATGGCCACTGCCATCGCTATGGAGACAGATGATGCTGGAAATCGACTTCGGTTTCAGTTGCAGTTGGAATTTGTACAGTGTTTAGCCAACCCAAATTACCTTAATTTTCTTGCCCATAGAGGTTACTTCAAAGACAAAGCTTTTGTTAATTATCTTAAGTACTTGCTTTACTGGAAAGAACCAGAATATGCCAAGTATCTAAAGTACCCTCAGTGTTTCCATATGTTAGAACTGCTCCAATATGAACACTTTCGAAAGGAGCTGGTGAGTGCTCAGTGTGCGAAATTCATTGACAAACAGCAGATTCTACACTGGCAACACTATTCTCCGAAGCGGATGCGCCTTCAACAAGCCCTGGCAGAACAGCAACAGCAAAATAACACGTCAGGAAAATGAAAAGCTGGAAACAGACCAGGCTCTTAAAACTATATATAATGTATTTCCATTATACAGTGAAGACAAAACAAGAGACTTCCTGCCTACCTTTATCGTGGTAGCACCTGGATACTTTAGTGTGCTTTTAAATCCATCTAACTTTTTATTGTTAATACATTACTTCTGTTAAGCCAAACTTGTTCTACTTTGATTTCCGGATGGATTTGTAAATTTTTATTAACATTTAACAGAATCAAGAAAGAATGGAAATGTTAGGTGCAGGGGATTGGGCTATCAAATGTAATTAACTCTAAGCCTATTTCATGACTTATAATAGTCCCTGGGGCAAGTCCTCTCTTGAATCTTTTTATCTCTTGGATCACCTTTTCCACCCCTCTTATCTACTAAAAGAAAGGACTAAAGTGGACGACCTCTTTTTAAATCACAAAGCAAAAATCCCATAAAGGTTTTTACATGGTATAGGAAAGGAAATACTTTGCCAGATTTTTTTAGTTGTAGTTGGACACAATACCTTTATTTCATTCATTTACTTTTATGTGGTGCTGAGGATCAAACCCAGGGCCCCATGCACCCCATGCCCCACGCATGCTAGGTGAATGCTCTACCGCTGAGCCACAATCCCAGCAGCCAGATAGCAACTTTAAGAAAGAATTGTTAGTATGTCCCTGACCTAGTGAAAGGTATGGAGAAGATTGGTGTTTGGACTCTTGACCTCAAGTTTGAACAAAGATGAGCCTCAAATGCTTGTGTTCATTTGGGAAAGTTAATATTTGGCCAGTACTACAAACCACATGCACCTTAAATGCTGCCTTGCATTCTCATTGATCCTTATTTGTAAAGGAGGAAAAAGCTATTAAGCACTAAAATCAGTGTGTCTGACTCACATTCTAGAGTTTTTTTTTTTTAAAGCATTTTTTTTTTTTTTAGAGAGAGAGAGAGAATTTCAATATTTATTTTTCAGTTTTTGGCTGACACAACATCTTTGTTTGTATGTGGTGCTGAGGATCGAACCCGGGCAGCACGCATGCCAGATGAGCGTGCTACCGCTTGAGCCACATCCCCAGCCCACATTCCAGAGTTCTTATAACTATGTTATCTGGTCTCCAGTCTTCCTCAAGTGAAGCACATTCACACAGCTATAAAACAGAACTGCCTGAATTAAGCAGCTGGGTTAGATTCATGCTGTACTTTCTCTAAGTGGTTAAATTCTACATTCCAAAAGCAAAGAAGTGGTTTTAAAAATATCTATTGTTCTGCAAATTCCTGGAATTGAAGATCCTAATCCCTTCAGAGATTTGGAAGTTGTCTATTTTTTTAACCTCCAATAATATATTCCTTTGAACTATGACTGCCACTGCTGAACTTATTTTACTCAAATCTTTAAGATGGCTATATGTTACAAGAAAATTGAAGGTTCATGAGTATTTTTAAAAAGCATTCTTTATTGTTTAGACATAAGCTAATTTTCGTATCATTTATTTACTGTTAAAATGAATGCAAATTTTTATATCATTTATTTACTGCTAAAATAAAGACATTATTTATAACTAGAGCAAACCAGGAAAAAAATAAATAAAATAAAATTATGATTAAAATTACTTCCCAGTGTAGGGAATAGTATACAAGTCTTACAGTGTTTCACGGACTATAGGTCCAGTTACAGAATGTATATAATACAAATGGATTTCTAACAATGTTTGTAAGTTTTATTGCTCAAAACTCACATATGGTATTAATGTGGAGAACATTTTGAATATAATGTTTTCTCAAATCCCACAAACATCCAATGAACAGAAATGATATGCAAGAATCAGCAGCAATCATTGCAATTACTGATATCTTTGAATCAATTAAATTTACTCTCCAGTGAGAAGTGTCAAAATTGGAATTTAAGTCAGCATTTTAAAACACTTATTGTTTGATCAAGGTTGTATAAATTTGATTCATTATAAATTGGTTCTTGGTCAAACAGCACAAACTTTAGGTATAAGTTTAATATTTTAATGAGCTCTGTCATGTCAGAATGTGGAGAAGCACCTTAGCTTACATCAGCATAATAAAATCGGGGAAGTAGCCTGAAAAATCCTACAATTGATTAGTCCAAATATATATAATCAGTCCAGTTATACAGAAATCTGTTTTTCAAATGTTTTAACTTTCCATGTCATCTGTCTAGATAATTATATAAACATATCCTTATTTAGAAAAACCCTTTCATCATGAAAATTTAGAAGATAAAGACCTTTTCATTGACCCAAAGATGATTTCTTTCTTCTTAGGACCTCCTAGTAGACATCCTTTTCTTTCTTTTACTTAGAACTGGATAATCATACTAGCAAACGTGTGTGTTTCCTCTCTGTAGAAACATCTCCTTTTCCTTCTCTAGAAATCCTTCTTTGTGTATACTTTGGAACAATTTTTATAAATCTTAGAATCTGAACAAATTATTGTACCTTAATAAGAAGTTTCTCAATGAAAATATAGTTAAAGCTGTTGGACATTTCTGTTGACATAATCATATCTATTTATCATAAAAATTTGTACAAAATTTGAGAATTAGAGATTACTTGATGGTTATATCTCTTGAAATAGATATTCTATAATCAAACACATTTATCTTAAATATCTGTACCATAAAATGCAGAGCATAAGAGCATATATAAGAAATATAACTTATGTGTTTTCTGTTGAAGAAAAATGATTAGAAGCAAATAAAAATATATTAAAAAATAAGACATATATGTTAATTATTTCATGAATTAAGGACTCTGGATGATCCAAATAACTGGAAAGATATACACTCATAATAAAAGTTTAACAGTATTATACAACCATGGAATTTTAAAATAAGCCTCATTAAATCATGTATTTGGATCCATTTATTTTACTTTGGACGAGTAGTGCACTCATTCTATTTGGGACGTCAGGTGATGTGGTTAAAAAAAATCCCTGTGTATGCATTTGTTTGTTTATTGTAATTATGTGGTCAGGAACGAGAAGAAGGATTTCTTGGTCATCACAGAAACATTGTGAGAAAAGATCTCAGATGCTGGCTTTTGTGTGTGCGGGGTGCAAAACGCATTCCCATAGTCTCCAAAATTGTAAGAAGCCTATGTTTGTGACCTCTCCTCAACGGAACATTACTTAGTTCTATTACCCTGAAGAGCAAAAGGAAGGATTGTAAAGGAAGCTGTTGAGACACACACACTCACACACACACACACACACACACACACAGTTATTTAGCTTCAGAGCGAGTCAGGCTTAGGGCTGCAACAGAGAAGCCTGTGGAGTCAGATTGTGCCTGAAAGTGTTTCAATGCACATTCTTAAAATGCAGGCTCCTTGCAGCTCCAGTGGCAGTCACCAGTGAAGCAGGAAGCACAGGTTAGTGGCTGGGAGGCGGGACCACAAGCCCTGCTTGGGTGACAGAGGAAGGACCCATGGGAAGCCCTGGAAAATGGGAAAGGCCTGATGAGGAAGGAGGCCAGGCTCCGCCCCCCAGCCTCCCCTGGTTACCATGGTGATGGAACAACCCAGAACTGGCTGTGGCTGGTGCAGCTGCCTGGGTCCCCAGGTCAGGCGTCAACTCTCTCCTCCTTAATGGGCTGTTTCCCTGTGTCTTCCCCTCGCCCCTCATGTTCTCCCATCTTTTGCATTTTCCCTTTCCAGAGCGTGGGCACTTTAAAACAGTGATTTAAAGGCAGAGGTCAGCATTACTGTCTGACCCTAAGGCAGTCTGCCTTTGGCCCCCTGGCCAGGTTGCTTAAGGGTCAAAAGCACAGCTGGGTGGGGCTAGTTAAGACCTTTTAGGGAGCAGGGGCTGGTCCTCTGTCCTGCAGCTGAGTTAATTAAAGCTGTTCCCACCCCAATGGGACAAGAATGCAGGGAAGAGGCTCAGTACAAACTGTTTGAGCACATTTGAAAAAATAGCAGAAAAACACAATTTGCCTCTCTACCAGCAGAAAATCCCCTGTGTCAAGTCGCACCACGAAAAATGTTTCCTTTTTCCTCTTACCCTCCAAACATTGACTCCTAGAATATAGATTCCAAAAAATCTTTAGGTTGCAAGGGGGCAAAATTGCGATGTATGCAGTCGAGGGGAGAAATAAAGAATGTCCCTTCCAATGCTTTATTCACTCAAGTTACTCCATACAGTTTCACTCTATAGGTTCTTAATCAAGAAAACACAATCCTTAATGCTGGGCACTGCAATAGACATAATCAATCCACAGAAAACAGTTCTAGATTCATTCTAAGCACTGCAAAACACACTTAATCATGACAGGCTAGTGACAGACATTCCCTCTGCATGCTAAGTTCAAAGGTCTTAAGTCCTAGGGTTTGAGTCCAGCAGATGCACACTCACTCAGACCGTGGTGATCAGGTCTGGAACCAAGGTAGGCTTTCCCTAGCGTGGAACGTGGAGCGGATGACCGGTTGAGGAGGGGGTCATAGGGAGGAGTTGGGGCTCTCACCAAGGTCCAGATGAGGCGGTAAAGGTTGAGAGCGGTGAGGATCATGCAGAGAATCAGGAATGATGACAAGTGATGGGATGTCAGGTCCTCATCAGGCTCTCCAGCTCTAGTGCATCCTTGTTTCTGCTGGCTGAATCCCTGTTCATCAGCTCTATCATTTATACTAAATTTGGGGGCTTTTGATCATGCTTGGTTGCCGGATGAGACAGAGCCCACATAAACACAAAGGCCCGGTTTCCTTGGAAGCAATGTACAGAAGCAAACGCTTCTCACATGGAGCCGTGCACCAGACACACAAGCACGTGGGGATTGCAGATTGAACACCACGGAGGAGGCTTGTAAAACCAGTTGTCATAACGCAGGAAATAAAAAACTACCACCCCCTCCCCCAGCCCTGGAGGGCAAAGGACTGAGACCAGTGGTCACAAGGATGAGCTCCCTCCACAGGATCCAGGGAGGCTCCTGCCTGCCTCTCCCACCTCCTGGGGCTTCAGGTGGCCCCATAATTCCAGTCTCTGCCTCTGTCTCCATGTGGCTCCATCTCTGTGTCTGTGTCCTCTCTTCTGTCTCTTGTGTGGACACTGCCATTGCATAAGGGCCGCTGACCCACAAGGAACCCATCTCAGATCTTTCACTAACTACCTCTGCAGAGACCCTGTTTCCACACAAGATCCCACTCAGGGGTTCTAAGGGCCAGATGTGGACAGGACCCACCTCTTACAATGGTGTCCAGCTCCCTCCACTGGCTCCACAGAAGCTCCTTCCTGCCTCTCCCAACTCCTGGGGCTCCAGGTGGCCCTTGGCAGAACAATGTGGTGGCCTCTCAAAAGCTTAGGATTGAATCACAATATGACCCAGCAATGCCACTGCTGGGTTTGGACCCAAAGGATTTGAAAGCTATGGGTGCAAAAGACACTTGCATATCCTGAGTTCACAGAAACCCTGATCCCCAGTATGACTGGGGACTAGGGAAAAAATTATGTCTTAGTGGGGTGTGGGGGAGACATCGCCAATATGGGGGCAAAAGAGGCAGTCTGAGTGGGGGACTTTGAAGGCCAGAGGATCTTAGAGAGTGTGGCGAATTTTTTTATTTTGGCTAAACTGTGTACATGATGTCATACAGGCTTGTAGAAGTGTACTCAGTTCTGAGCCCTTTATTCTCAGGATTAGCAAATCACTATCATTACTCAAATCCATCAGCATACATCTGTGTATATATATATCCTTCTGTCTATGTACCAGCCATCCCTGCTTCCACCCATCTGCCCATTTTCTCTCCCATGCATCATGGATTTGTGTATTTGCCCACCCATCTACCCATTCATCCAGCCATCCATTCAGACATACATGCATCTTCCCATCAGTCCATGCATCCTCCCACCCATTCACCCATCCTTCCAATCATCTAGGGGCAATTGGCCACTTCACCACATCCCTAGCCTTGTTTGGTATTTTATTTAGAGTCAAGATCTCACTGAGTTGCTTAGCACCCTATTTTTGCTGATGCTGGCCTGAGCAATCAATCCTCCTGTCTCAGCCTCCTGAGAGGCTGGGATTACAGTCCTGCACCACCATGCTTGTACTTCTTATTTCCTCATTGGTCTGATACCAGGTTGGAGTCACCATCTGGGGTTATTTTCTCAGATCCATCACAGTTATGCTCCCACCCACCTTCTTTGAACCACAATGAAAAGGGGGGCTGGGGATGTAGCTCAGTGCTAAAGTGCCCCTGCCATCAATTCAATCTCTACATGGGGGACAATAAAGGCACCTGGGATTCAATTCTCAGCTCTGGGCAGCTATGTGCCCATGTTTCCACACTTTTTACACAAGAGCTCCCCTGGTCCATGGGCAATATTGTTAGGTAGAATGAATGTGAGACACTATGCAGGATGTGAAAGACTTCACAAAGTCCAACTTAAGAGAAAAGAATAAAATTGTATATACTTTCCATTATTGGGGTTAATATGACAGGCTGTATTGGCCCCAAGTGGCACATTTTTATGTTTTATATGCGGGCTTTTTGGCAGAGCTGAGCAGGGTTATCATTTCTTCCTGGTTTAACTATCAGTTGAACCCAGGAAGCTAAGAGCACTGGGTCAGCTTCTGGGGGTACATTGTTCCTAGGCAGGATGTAGATGTGCTTGTGGCTTTTCTTGAAAATGTTGGTGCATCTGAAACCTTGACATAAAAAGAGTTCACAAAGGGGGACTTTATACTGAGAGAAAATAATGAGGTCAGTCTGTGCAATAGAATGACATGTTTCAAGGAGGCAAATGAGCTTGAGTTCACAGACATGAGACTACAGATGCCTGAAGCCTAACCTAATGCAATTCTACATATTATGATATTACTTGCATATCACCCAATGCAATAATAATACAATATTAATCTTTTACAATTAATACTAACTCCTATATACAATTTCCTCTATACATTCATGACAATGATTTCCCTTTCTAAAAAATCTCACAGCCCTTGTCAGCACCTGAACACAGGGTAAGGACAGGGTTTCCTTGTCTCCCTGGTGTAGCTGCACTGGTCAAACTTCCTTTCTTGCTTTCAATCAACACCTTTTCTTTTTGCTTTTAGGGCAAACAGCTGAGCAGAATTGTGGGATCAGCAGAGTCAGGTCTGTACATAAGAATTGATAATTGTAGAATGTAGACTATCTACATTGAGCACAAGGCGCCCATTTTATTTCCGATGCACGTTGCTGTTTTAGAGGGTTGCCTGCCTCCCCCCACCCCACCCCTTTCTCTGCTGGGGATGGAACACTGAGCCACAGCCCCAACCCCAAATGTTTCCTTTTATAGCTTAGGCTGCCTCCTCAAAGATCAGAGGCCAGGAGGTAATGAGAATTACTAAAATATTTTTCAAATTGTTTTCATTAGTAGATATCATATATATGTATGATATATATGATAGCTTTAAAGACTGTTTCAAAAATATGGAGACCGTGTCTTTCTAATTTGCCTGAGGTATATATATATATATATATATATATATATATATATATAATATAAATAATATATAATTATTAATTATTATAATATAATAATTAATAATATATAATAATTAAATATATGTATTTATTTTAAGAGAGGGTCTCTCGGGCCTGGTGTTGTACCTCAGTGGTAGAATGCCTGCCTCACACACATGAGGCACTGGGTTCGATCCTTAGCACCACATAAAAAGAAATAAATAAAGATTGTATTATCTACAACTTAAAAAATAAATAAATAAAAAGAGAGCTTCCCAGTGTTTGCAGACGCTGACCTGACCTTGGGCTCCTCCAGCCTCACCCTCCCTGAGAAGCTGTGCTTTGTTTTTGTGTTGAGGTTAAACCCAGGGCCTCGCCATGCTCAGAAAGCACTCTATGGCTGAAGCCTAGCTCAGCGCCAGGTGTCACCTCTGTACCAGAGGCAAAGCCAAGGCTTCCCACCTGGATTAGTTCCCAGCACAGCCGGGAAGCTCCGCCTGAAAAGGGCTGGGGCCAAGCATCTGTCACTCTACGCAATTTCAGCCAGTGATTGGATGATGCTGGCTGTCAGTCACGATGTAGAGGCGGGCCTGGAGGCCGTCCATCCCGGATGCTGGGGGAACTGCCCAATCAGTGCGCAGAGGGAGAGGAAGGGCGGGCTTCCGCAATCTCGCGAGCATTTCTTCCTCAGCGACTCCCCTCCTCATCCTTCAAGCCGAGAGTTCTCTGCTCCAGGGACTGAGGTGACTCTGCTTTGCCTGTGTCCCCCCCCACCCCCGTCTCGGGTGCCTGGAGGTTCCCCGAGAGGACGCCGGGTCACCACAGAACACAAAAATGGTGAGTTTGCGACCAGGGCTGAAGGCACGCGTCACCACCCGCCTTGGGGCCTGGTGCCCGGGTGAGCTGGGGAGCGCGGCGGAGTCGTGGCCCTGTCCCTTAGTCTCGTGGGGTGAACTGGGTTTTGGGTTTTTGAGGTGAGCTGCTGAGCGTGGCAGAGTCCCCGCTGGAGGGTGGCCCTGGGGCCTGTCCCCTGGTTCCCTGGGTTTGGAAGGGCGCCTCAGGGCCCTGGTGTCCCCTTTGCTCCCTACTGGTGGCCCGACCCACTCTTCCCAACGTGGAGGAAGCAGGGCCACAAATGCACCCTCCTTCTCCCAGGGGAGCTCCTCCGGAGGCTGCTGTAGGTTCCCCAAATTGCAGGCGCCTCCTGCCTTCTAAACCCCACCTTCCCTCCACCTCACAGCTCGGCCAGACGTTCGTTCTTCCCACTCCGTTCAAATGGACACCGTCCGCTAATTGTCACTTCTCATCTAGCGAAATATTGGAGAGAATAGTTCTTTTCTTTTAATTGGGGACCCAAACTCGGGGAGTTTTATCAGCCACATCCCCAGCCTCCACTTTTACTGAATTTTGAGATCTGCACCCACTTGGTGTGGAAGCTGGTCTCCAACCTGTGATCCTTCTGTGACCGCTGTTTACCAGTGACGAGTCCTTGCTTCCCCGAATGCTGAAGTATAACACCAGAGAAGCACGCTGAGGCAAGTGTAGAGTGGAAAGTAGAGGTTTATTAAAGGACAGTAGAAAAGACTTCTCCCCGCAGGAAGAAGGGGACCCAAGAGGTGGAATCCCTGTAAGGGGGAGGTCTTCCCTCTTCTATAGCTAAAGTCTTCTTTCTGCATTCCCACACTTTGTTTCTCATTATGTTGCAGTGATAGAATGCAGGTGGGAAGGTCCAAAAGGTGGGAGATTGGGGGGCTGGAGGAGTAATGTGGGCAGGAAGGGTCTAGGGTGACTTTTGGATTATGATTAACAGTTCCTTAGAGTGGATTCCTTCCTTGGGGACATTAACATTTCAATTGCTGCTCTGGTTTCCAGGACTCCATTCTCTATAAGGGCCTCTGTTTTATTTATCTTACACATTATTAGACCCAATTTACCTAACTACCTATCTGTAAATCTGGCTTCACTTCTGCTTCAGCCTCCAAAGTTCCTGGGATGACAGGGCTGTGTGGAGGGGGCAAAACTGTGACTTATGCAGTCAAGGGGAGAAATAAAGAATGTCCACACACTTGTGCCCCTTTCAATGCTCTATTCACTCAAATTACTCAATACAGTTGAACTGTATAGGTTCTTAATCAAGAAAACAACAATCCTTAATGCTAGGCATTGCCATAGACATAATCAATTCACAGCAAACAATTCTAGATTCATTCTAAGCACTGGAAAACACACTTAATAATGATAAGCTAATGAAAGACATTCCCTCTGCATGCTAAGTTCAAAGGTCTTATGTCTTAGGCTTTGAGTCCAGCAGATGCACACTCACTCAGACCTCCGTGACCAGATCTGGAACCAAGGCAGGCTTTTCCTGGTGTGGAGCGGAGGACCAGTTGAGGAGGAGGTTGTAGAGAGGAGTTGCAGCTCTTACCAAGGTCCAGAGGAGGCAGTAGAGTTTGAGAGCAGTGAGGATCACACAGAGACTCAGGAAAGATTCCAAGTGATGGGATGTCAGGTCCTCATCAGGTTCTCCAGCTTAAGTGCATCCTTGTTTGAGCTGGCTGAATTCCTGTTCATCAGCTCTATCATTTATACTAAATTTTGGGGCTTTTTACCCCCCTTTCAATCCTTATCAGCTACCACCCTATTTCTCAGTGACATCATTTACCCTGGGATCATCTCCACCCTGATCCTCTTGCATTTCCCTATTATCAGGCAAGGACAGCCTGCCAGAGGCTTCACTCTCTTTATCAGGGTGAGGGGAAGGAACTTGTTTGAGGCCTTACTGGAGGGATCTGTGGATGTGCCTGGTGAAACTGCAGGTCTTTTAAAATGGAGTTGCTTAGGCTCAGGCCTAAGGCCATTCTAAGAAGGCCTGTGTCCCTGGTAAGAAGAACACTTTTGAAAGCATTTGTTTTCTATTTGTGATTATTATACTTGAGGGGAAAGAATAATCACTTCACAGTTCTCTGTGTTTGGTCAAAACCTAGGGATATTGAATCTTGGGTTATTTTCCAATCCCCCCTGCCCCAATTTGACATAGATCATTTATTTACTTAAATTTGTTTTTATTAGTTATACATGGCATTATAATGCATTTTGACACAGCACACATAAATAGAGTGTAACTGTTCATTTTTCTGGTTGTATTCCATGTGGATTCACACCAGTCCTGTAGTCATATATGCACATAGGATAATAGTGTTTGATTCATTCTTCTGTTCTTCATCGCCAACTCTTTAAATTTGATTTTCAGATGGGGTCTGGCTATGTTGCCCAGCCTGGCCTGTAAGTCCTGACCCTCCTGTTTCAGTTTCTCAAGGTGTTGACATTAAAGGCATTGGCAATCCCAGCTATGGAAAATAGTTCATTTTGATTTAAATATTAATGAGCACACTCAGGAACATGGATTCAATTGACCCTAAATGATGTATGTGTCCCACCCTGAAAGACAAGGATTAAACCCAGGGGCACTTAATCACTGAGCCACAATCAGTCATTTTTAGATTGTATTTTGAGGCATGATCTCATCAAGTTCCTTATGGTCTCACTAACTTACTGAGACTGACTTTGAATTTAGCAGTCCTCCTACCTTATCTTCTCAAGCTACTGGGATTACACTTGTGTGGCACTGTGCCTGGCCTACATGAACTTTTATAAAAGAAACTGCATATCACTACATTAACCAACTGCAATGGTAGGATCATCAGATTGGTGGGCTGCAGAAAGAAAGAAAGGAAGAAGGAAAAAAGAAATTTCTTCTGACTGTTGTTATTACATTCTTACTTTGGTAGATGGTGGGGACTAGATGTCTGGTAAGGGTAGGGATATATTCTGAGAAATTTAATAGTTTTGAGAATTGTGGTCTGATACAGAAATTAAGATAATTGGCTATTAAAGGGCTTAAGATAGCCCAAGATAATTTTTGCTCTCCATACAGAACCCTGCCTTTCCACCCTCATGGTGGTCTGGTTAGCCAAGTCAAGTACTCTGAAGGTTCTTTGATGTAGATGCAACTGTATAGACAACTTGAGTTCACAGCTGTAAAAATCTTGTGCTTCTCCCTTTATCTTCCTTAGGTGTAGACACCATGTCAGATTTCTTGGCCAGAGGTTCCCTTTGGATGCCTCACAGGGTCCCATGTCCTCAGCCACTGTCCTCTCCTGGAGCTGCCACAAGGTGCCCACAGCTGCCCTGGTCCCTGCAGGGTGAACAGAACTTCAGGCCCTGAGTCAGTTCCTCCTAGAGGACACCTGAGGTGTGGGGTGCAGCCTCTCAGGGAAGCTGCTGGGGGCTCTGGGCTGAGGAATCTCCTGGAACAGGCCTCATCTAGACAGCTACTTCCTTGGGACCTTGTTTTTCCCAAGCTCTGTTCCCATTCCTTGGAGAAAGTTGGACAGTCAGCCTGTGGATGCTGGTGCTGAGGGGCCAGGTCACCAGTGATTCCTGCCCTTTCAGTCTCACAGTGTGAAGGAGCGAAACCTCTCCCAGAGCATAAGAAACACTCACCCCAGTGCAGAGCTGTGCAAACCTGAAAAGCCTCGTAGACTGGAGTCATGGTCTAGGTCACTGGGAGGGTAATCCCAGAGGCTTTCAGGAATCAAGACCAGGAGAGGTCATGTCCCAGATGTCAGGGATCTTCCCTGCCCCTTGAGCCTGACACATGTGTGCTCCCTCAGCACCAAAGCTTACTGTGTATCACTTTGAAATGATCTGCTCACATTTTGAGGCCCAGGTCTATTTTTTCAGAGCCAAATGGGATGGACTATTATCAAATAGGCAAGAAAGAAGTGGAATTTAAAAAGTCTAGTTACATTTCCATTGTGAAAACAATTACAGCCAGGTACAGTGGTGCACACCTGTGATCCTTGCTGTTCCAGGGCCTTAGGCAGTAGGATTGTAAACTTGAGTACAGCCTTAGCGACTTAGCCAGGCCTTATGTCTGGGGTTGTGACTCATCAGTAAAGTTCCTCTGGGTTTAATCTCTGATCCTAAACCAAAGAAAAAGAACAGAACAGAAAAACAAGCAAAAAAAAAAAAAACAAACAAACAACAACAACAACAACAAAAACACATCTAATTTATCTTTTGCTACCCCTGAGTATGCATAGAAAATTAGTGAGATTTGATCTTGTCTTTTCAATGATTTCCAATTGAAATCCATGTCCTAGATTCCAGAATGCCTCTTAAGATACAGAGATACTCTGTCTACCATTATTGCTGCAGGAAATGAATCCATTTCTACAAAAATTGTGGTGGATAAATTTATGAATTTGATTTTATGTAAATTAGTTACAGTCGTTGACAAGCTGATGAATTTGACAGGAATGACAGTTTGTTGTTACTGTTGTGGTCTGGATTTGGCAGGTTCATGTTAGCTGTGTGTTTTTTGGTATCAGGAATGGAACCCAGAGGTGCTTAGCCACTGAGCCACATCCCTGGCCCCTTTTAGATTCTTCCTTTTGAGTCAGGGTCTTGCTACATCACCTTGGGCCTCTGACCCCTGAACCATGGGGGTTACAGATGTGCACCATCACACCCATCTTCATTGGAAGTTTTAAGGACAATTTTGGCAATACCTAAAATACCGAACTGTGATCATTTAAAAATCACTGTATACTTTATCAGTGAAATAACAAATGACACCTGTTTTCTGAAAAGGAGAGATATATATGTCTAAGTAAGGGTGCTGATCTTCTCACAAGCACTCTCACCATGTCACCTGATTCCTCTTCCCTCCTAATTACCTCCTCCTAGGGCTACCCATTTGGGAGTTGGCCTTTTAGCTTATGAAACTTGGGAGTAACATAAATGCTCTCTCTACTCTCTCTGTCCTGTACAAT